GTTAAAAAGATTTTTAGAAGTTGAAAAAACAAAGATGACTATGGCCATTTTGAGGAAAAAGATGGGAAGGAATGGCTATTTTGTCACTGAAGCAAGAGGGGAAGTTATCGTTAGGGGGAAGGAAGAGATGCAGGTAGTGCTGTGCTGGAGCTGGCTCATATCAGACACATGGCTTCCCAACTCAGGAATGTCACATTGGTACCTTGTGACGTAATACTGGTATTTTGAAATCAGCCATGGTGGGAGTATTTACACCATGGAAGTTGGCAGGCACTACAGATCAGGGTCTTTTCTGTTTTTAATTAAGAGCCAGCTTGCACATCACTCACTGTACAATTGGATGCAGATAAAGCAAGGGCATGCTTCCAAACAGCTCTGTTCGTGCTCTGTCATGCTGACCTCGGAACCCTGAGGACGCAGAGCTGAACAACGTTCACAGAGGTGGTACTCACAGATTGTGGAGAAAAGAGATAAGTAAGTCTACTCAAAAAAATAAGAAAATGCCCAAATAGGAGTTCCAGGGGGGGTCCTGTTTTGGGTAATTTCTGATTAGGGTTTTACAGGATGAATAGGAGTTTTCCACAAGAGTGGGAAAGTAGGCCAGGCAGAAGGAAAAGCATGTGGAAAAGCTTGGGGTTTTTTAAGGCTATATATCAGTTTCTTGAGACTGTAACGTGCTTGATAAGGGTAGCACAAAGGGTGAGAACTGGCCAAAAACAGCCCACAGGTGTGCTTTGTTTTAAGAACTATTTGGAGCCCTGGCTGGTGTGGCTCAGTAGTTGAGTGTTGGTCTGCAAGGTAAAGGGTTGCCAGTTCAATTCCCAGTAAAGGCACATGCCTGGGTTGCAGGCCAGGTCCCCATTGGGGGCGAGTGAGAAGCAACGAATCCATGTATCTCTGGCACATTGCTGTTTCTCCCCCTCTTTCTCCCTCCCTTCCCTTTTCTCTAAAAATAAATAAATAAAATTCTTAAAAAAGAAATATTTGGATTGTTCATTGAGATTTTAGATAGTTAAGGATTTTATATAAAAATCCAGCCTTGTCTAGGGAAAAAAAAAAAAACAACAGAAAATCTGGTAATCTTGGGCCTGCATTTCCACAAAGCATCATGGAAAAGCATTTTCTAGTTCTCCACAGTCTCCACTGCTCCCCATTGTCTCCCAACACCGTGGCCAAGGTCTGTTACCATTTTACCATCTTGCTCACAGTATTTGCTGCTTTCCCTGTGACAGAGCAAGACCTAGCCACACTCACATCTCAATTTAGAAAAGGAAAATGAAGTAAGTCCAAGAACTACATTTTCCTCACCCTTGACTGGCTTTGCCCTTTATCTTTCCTGCCCAGTGGCCTCTGTAGATGTTTGAACTTGTCATCCCCGATGTAGCATTGAGATATAAAGCTGGGTCGCAGTGGTTTTATATGCCAGCTCAGAAGTGGATTTTGTCCTTTAAGCTATGGGCAACTATTGAAAAATTTTAATTCAATTATTCAACTAATAGTTTGTAGCAAAAAGTCTTGACGCCAAATTTGTACCCTCCCCCCCTCCCCAGTTTTGGCAGGGTCCAGCCGCCCCCCACTGCTGCTGTCTGCAGCCGCTCCTGGCCAGGGGGCTTTCCCAAAGGTTTTGATGGCTGCTCTGTCCTGCACAGCAGGCTGGAAGCGCCAGGGAATAGTCCTCATACCTTGGGAGCACCTCTCAACCCGACAGGAGGCGGCAGACAAACGGGCAGCCTCCTACGCTCCTTGGCAGTGTCCTATGCTGCCCCCGCCCCGCAGAGGCCGCCATTACAGTTGAGCTGCAATTGCCCACAGAGGTAACTGGCTTCATGACATATCCGTCATCAGCTGTCTTCTCTCTGTCCCTCTGCCCTACTGGTGCTTCCTGTGGTCACCTCCTAGATACACTACAAGAGAGTAGATCTTAACAGTTCTCATCACAGGAAAAAGAGTTATAACTATGTGTGGTGATGGACGTTAACTGGACTTATTGTGGTTGTCATTTTGATTATATACACACACATACACACACACAGATGATCCTTGACTTAGGAGGGGGTTATATCCCGATAAGCTGATTGTACATTGGAAATATCTTTTAGTTTAAAATGCATTTAACTTACTGCACATCATAACTTAGCCTCGCCGGTTTCTACTGAAGGAAGAAGGAAGAAGGTTTCCACTTTCACGCCATCATAAAGTAGAAAAATTATAAGTTGACCATTGTCATCGGGAACAGTCTGCATATAAAATCATTATGTTGTATCCCTGAAATTAATGCAATGTTATATGTCAGTTATATCTCAATGAACATTTTTAACAAAATTTAAAATACATCCCAAATTCTTCGATACTCGTCCTTTCAAGAGATGAAGCCCCATCCACCCCCTTCTTGAGTGTGAGTTGCCTGAGTGACCATCTTCTAATGAGTAGCATGTGACACAGTTGACAGAATGTGCAGAGCTGTCAGCCTCTGCCTTGGGGCAGAGGACGGGGCTCAGCCAGGCAGTGGGTCCGGTCAGCAAGCGGGGGGACTCTGGAGCGTGAATTGCATCACACAGTCGTTCCAACTTGAGGCACAAGGGCTGGCCTTTCTCACCCGCATGGCGGACAGCCATTGGCTGTGGGCTGCACCTGGGCAGAGGGAGCAGCCCTCCTGGAATCTCCAGAGAAAGGGGCTCCCATGAGCAAAGACATTCCCCAGAGAAGAGCAGGTGGGAGCCATTGGCAGCCCATACGGGAAGCAGGCGGAAGATGGACGCACTGGCCCAGGAAAGCGGCCCTGGGCGGGGGCACCAGCAGGGTCTCCCACAGTGGCCATCAGCCACATATGGGTGGGGGTAGGGCTCAGCCCCACCATTCATTTCATTTTATTCAATTTTTAAGTTTTTTAAAATCCTCAGTTGAGAATGTTTATTGACTTTTAAAGAGAGAGAAAGGGGGAGAGAGGGAGAGAGAGAGAAAACATCCATGTGAGAGAGAAACATCGATCGGTTGTCCCTCGTTTCTGCCCCAACTGGGGATCAAGCCTGCAACCTAGATATGTGCCTCACTGGAGGTCGAACCTGCAACCTTTTGGTGTATGGACGGTGCTCCAACCCGCTGAGTCACCCAGCCAGGGCCATTTGTTTTAAATATTTTTATTTAGCAAACAATTATCTAGCACCCGTTGATAGCTAAGTGTCTGCTAAATAAGATAAGATGGAGTCTTTATCCATCTAAGATCTGCACACATTTCCACCTTCACAACCTATGAAACAGGCACTGTTTTGCCAGCACCCCAGACTGTAGCCTCAGGGGGCCTCCCTGTCAGCATCTGGGCCCTCTGAGTCATGCCGCCCCCGCCTCCCCTCCCCCCCCAGTCACCCACAGCTTGCAGGCCAGTGCTCCCAGCTAGCCCCGCCTCCGCCGGGCACATCCTCCATCCCGCTCTTAATTGATTCTTAATCTGCAGCCTTGGGGCAGTGCTGCTGAGAAGGCAGGTGGAAACCATTTCCTTTAGAGCCAGCAGTGCTAAGGGCAGTTGAGGGGGACTCCCACCCCCATTTCTTGTCATCCTGGGCTCTCAGTTCCCCTCCAAGCCAGGTCTCACTTTCCTTCTGTTGCCCTAGGAGCTTTGGGGGAGCATGTAGCAAAAAGAAAGCCCCCAGGACACATAGCTTTGGGGGGGGGCCCTGGGAGACAGTACAGGGTTTGCATTATGGTGTCCTTTGAGGTCCACTTGTTCCCTATGCCCAGAGGTTCTCACAGGGGCGACTCTGCCCACCGCGGGCAACTTGGCCACGTCTGGAGAAGCGTTTGGTTGTCCCGATTGGGAGGGAGGGTGCTACTGACACCTGGGGGGCAGAAGCCGGGGATGCTGCTCAACACTCCACAGGGCACACAGCGCGGCCCCACCCCAGAGGATGATATGTCCCAGTGTCAGTTATGCTGAGGCTGGGGACCCTAGGCTCTGCCTCCTGAGCTCCCAGCTACTTCCAGCTGGCAGTGCAGTAGGGGCGGGGATGTGCCAGGACACAAGACCCTCTATGGCTCCCCCAGGTGACGGATGTGCAGCCAGGGCTGAGAACTGCCAGGCAGGTCAGTTTTTAGTCCCCCTTCCCCTTCCTCTGGGGTTGTGGGGGGAGGGGGAGGGCAATCTGTCAGCAGGAGGGTGGAAGAATCTGCCCAGGCAACAGCCCCACAGCCTCCACCCCCGGGGCCTCCCTGGGCCCCCCTGCGCAACTGGGGTATCAGCGACCGCTGGGTGCAGAAGACTCAGTGGTGGCGGCCCTGTCTTCTCACCCTTCTGACCCTCCTTGGGGGGCTGTGGGGGGAAAAGACAGGGGATGAAGTGACAGGCCCCAGAACCTCAAATGTGAAGCCCAAGTCCAAAATAGATAAATAAATAAACGAGTGGAGGGAGGAGGAAGAAGGGAACCCCGAGGAGAAGGGTGAGTTGGGGAAGGAGGGGGCAGGGATGGAGTGCTGTGAGCCATCGAGGGAGGCGAGGCCCAGGGTGCGCGTGTGCCCTGAGCGCACGGGTCGCCAGTCCCCCAACACACACTCGCACACCCTCGAGGGCTCACCCTCCGTCACAGCCCCTCCGACCCCCACACGGCCACATTCACACACACCCTCGTAGTGACACACTCTCACACCCACACAAATGTCCTCAAGTCCCCACTCAGTCACCCGCTCTCAGGCACACGCTGTCAAACCCTCACGCGCTCGCAGACTCTGCCAGCCTCACACACTCACGCACCTCCGCGCACCCTCACTTTCACACAGTCGCACCCTCAGAAATCAAGCGCGCCCTCAAATTCTCGCGTGCCTCGCAACCCGCACTCACATCCCCAGATTTTCACAGAATCACATGGTCACACATTCTCACACACGCTCACCCCTTCACACTTATTGCTACTTCACCCACAGACACACACATACACACACACGCACACACGCACAGGTTTGTTTGGAGTCTGTCCAGGATGTCAGCCCCACGCGGGCAGGGTTGTTTTTTTTCAGATATGGAACGCCGCGCGAATCTGCGTGTCATCCTTGCTCAGGGGCCGCACTAATCTCTGTGTTGTTCCAGTTTCAGTGCATGTGCTGCTGAAGCAAGGTGAGCACTGGGGAGGGTTTTTATATCATTCACCCCAGGGCCCCTGGTGCCCAGAACAGGGTCGGACACATGAGAGGCACTAGATCCAATGTGCAAAAACTCACACATCTCGAATTCGCACCCAGTCACACAGCCACACACATTAGCGCAAATTCCCCCAGTTACACATTCTCACGCACATACACACAAGCTCTGCAAACTCCTGTGTCCCCCCCTCCGCTGGCCAAAAGCACCCTAAGACTCTGTAAATGTCACCAGCTGTGCTGCTCTGGTCCAGGCAGGAGGGGGGCGGGTAGGGGGGCGGGGGCGGGGACGGGAGGGGAGAGGTGGGCCAGGCCCCTCCACTCCCCACAAGCCTGGAGATGCCCCGAATCCCTCTGTTTTAGAGCATATTTAGAGCAAAGGCCAGCCTTCTGCAACCAGAACCCCCAGCCCCAGCACCCCACAGGCCTCTGGGGCAAGGCAGAGCTGGGGGAGGCTAGAGGTGGAACCAGCCCCAGGCCTGGCATCATGAGGGCGACTGAGGTCCTTTGTCATTGTTCGCTCACTGATTCATTTTACACTTTTGTTCAAGCACCTCCCTATGTCTAACCCTGTTCTGGGCACCAGGCAGGATGAGAAAAATAAATAAATAAATCCTTGCCCACGTGGGGCTGATATCCTGAGAGACAGAGACTAAACAAAAGCATATGCAAGTGTGACACTGTAATAAGGAATATAAAGGAAAATAAAGCTGGGATAGAGCAGGATGGAGGGAAGGCCTGCTCTGTAAGCTGAAATTTGAGTGAGTTGATGCTGGGAAGAGCTGCAGGCGGGTGGAACAGCATAGGCAAAGGCCAAGAGGCAGGTGTTCACCTGACCACAGGGCAAGAGGGATAATAGTGAACAAAAAGGCCTAGGGGAGGCAGGGGCCACTGGCCAAGGGACCTTAGGCCAAAGTCAGGAGGCAGCATTTAATTCCAAGTGAACCAGGTCCATAGAGGGTTTTAGAGGCAGAGGCTTCCTGGGGCTGTCGTAACAAACGACCACACACTGGGGGGCTTAAAATAACAGAAATATATCCTATCGCAGTCCTTGGGCTGGAAATCTGAGATCTAGGTGTCTTCAGGGTCTTGCTTCTTCTATGGATCCTGCTGGGCCTCTTCCAGCTTCAGGTGGCTGAAGACATGCCATGGCTTGTAGCCACATCACTCCAGTCTCTGTCTGTCCTCATATGGACTCCTCCTCTCTGTCTTTCTGTGTCCCAATCTCTTTTCTCTTATAAAGACTCCAACCATTGGACTTGGCTGGTGTGGCTTAGAGGACTGAGTGCCGGCCTGGGAACCAAAGGGCCTCCAGATTTGATTCCCAGACAGGGCACATGCCTGGGTTGTGGGCCAGGTCCCCAGTAGGGGGCGCGTGAGAAGCACCGACACATTGATGTTTCCCTCTCTCCCTCCCTCCCTCTCACTCTAAAAATAAATAAATAAATAAAAATTTTTTAAAGACACCAACTATTGGATTAGGGGCCCATTGCTCAGAGCATCTCATCTCGAGATCCTTACCTAATTTCATCTGCAAAGACCTTATTGCTGAGGCTGTAGGTGTACAGGAATTTTGGGGTGCAGGGGGACACTCTTCAACCCACCACACCGTGGTCTAGTTTTTAAAATTATTTTTTAGTCCTTACCTGAGGGCGTGTTTCCATTTATCATTATTATTATTATTATTATTATTTATTTATTTTTTTTTAGAGAGCGAGGAAGGGAGAGAGACAGGGAGAAACATTGATGTGCCCCAACCAGGGACCAAACCTGAAACCTAGGCATGTGCGCTGACTGGGAACCAAACTAGCAACCTTTCAGTGCGCTAAACAATGCTCCACCCAACTGAGCCACGCGGCCAGGGCAGGGGGTTGAAATAGTGGTGTCCATTCCTCCCTCAGGCGGGGTGCACCCCTGGGAGGGGTCTCCTCTCTGATGCTTTTCTTGCCCTTTATACCCAGCCTGGCCTCCCCACTGTGGTGGCCCTGAGGTCCCACCCCTGGTCGCATCAAGCCTGGTGGGAGCCAGCCCTCAGCTCCTCGCTTCATGCTAGGATGCCTTCTGAGTGGGCTTCTCTCCACCCGCAGCCCCTACCGGGAGGACCTGGGCATTTCCGTCCTATTTTCTTCCCAGAGACTTGGCTGGAAACTAGCTAATTATGTCCCTCCCCCAAAGCCAGCCTGGTGGGGTTGGGTGGCAATGGGCAAGTGGGCCTTGTGTCCACGGCCAGCGGCCCGTGCGCCAACACACAGATTTCTATATATTTTTAATTCCACAGCAATACTTTGATTACAGAGCCGATGTGTTGTGTGTGACCTCGGGGACCTCATTATTTTTCTAACTCAAATAAATACGGCATTGGGAAAGCAGGGGCGGTGGAGAGGGGTGGAGAAAAGGAAAGACTCAGGAAACCTCATCTGTAAAAAGAATTCAGGCCTTAATGAGCTTTTAGAATTTGCCAGCCCCCCTCCTGCCATGATCTATAAACAGAGGACGTGACTTCTGACTTCAGCTGTGGAATTTGGAGGGGGAGGGGGAGGAAAGAACAGGGAGGGCACAGCAGGAGATGGCGCTTGGCTGGGTGTCTAGATTTTGGGGGTTCCCAGGTGCTGGGAGGGTGGAAATTGCCCCATTTCAAGCTCAGTGGGAATTGCTATCATTTGGGGGCCCAACCTGAAGTGGAGTGTTGGTCTGAGAAAGATCTAGAGTTTCCTGATTTCCTAGGCCCACTCGAGCTGGGCCCATACTGGCATGAGGAGCATAGAACAAGGGGGCTTATCTTATCCTTGTGTGTCTGGAAACTCTTCTCCAGCTTTTCCTCTGGGAGAGGTTGGGCGAGCAGCTGGGGAAGCTGAGGTAGGACAGAGTGAAGTAGGCTGGACCATAGGATGTGCGCTTGGTGCCCTCCCAACCCAGCCTCTTGCCGGGGCAGACAAGCCTTGGGTGGGGCTGCCACCAGCCTAAGGAGCCCCCTCAGTGGCTGTGAGGTTGGGGTGGGTGCGGACAGAGTGAGTTGGTGACCGTGACTTACCAAAAGGACACGATGACCTCCTAGTCATTTCCTACATGCGTCCATTTGACCAAGAGCAAGGAGGCCTCCCAGAGTGGACAACGAAACCAATTTCAGGTGAAAGGTGAACTCGATGGGCAGAAAATGAGCTGGAGCTGGGAAATTCCTGTGTGATGAAAATTTCAGGGAACAGGATAGACCCAAGGCAGCTGGGCAAAGGCCTTAAGGTCTCAGGGGGGTGGGAGGAGCGGGAAGGGGTGAGAGAAAAGATTCCAGGCTTGAAAGTACAAGGTGGTCCTCAAGTAGCTGATGGGGGAGGGGCAGGAAGTGGGAAGATACCCAGACCTGCACAAAGGTCAGAGAGTGGTCTGCACCCCAACCTGAAATGGCAGCCCTTGTCCCCCACTTGCTCTCTACCCTGCTGTCACCCTTTGCCATGCTGTTTGTTCCTCATCTCCCTCCTGCCCCAGACTGGAGTCCTGCCTTACCCCACCTGAGGGCAAGGGGTTTTGCCTGTCCTGAAAGGTGGGCAGGAAGATGAGAGGGGCCATCCCCCGGATGTAAGCAATGGCGTAAACCAGCTGAGCTTTGTAATGTTTGACAATTCCCGTGGTGTCAATTTCCTTACCTTGATCAATTCTACGTTGTGAAAGGGATGTCACCGAGGGAGTGAAGGGGTGCAATAGACTGAATGTGTTCCCCCCAAATTCACATGTTGAAATCCTACCCCCCCTGTCGAAGGTATTAGGAGGTGGGGGCCTTAGGGAGGTGATTAGGTCATGAGGGTGGAGCCCTCCTGAATGGCATTAGTGCCCTTATAAAAGGGACCCCAGAAAGCTCCCTGTCCCTTCCACCCCGTGAGAACACAGAGAGAAGATGGTCACTTATGAACCAGGAAGTAACTCTCACCAGACACTGAATCCAGTTGCCTCTTGATCTTGGACTTCCTGCCTCCAGAACAATGAGAAGTCTATGATGTCACAGAAAATCATAGACTGAACGGCTAATAAATAACAGACATTTATTTCTCATAGTCTCAGAGGCTGGAAGCCCCTAGTTTATGACATTTTGTCACAGCAGCTCAGATGGACTAAGCGGGAGAGTGAGGGGGTGTCCAGATGGGTGAAAGCCTCAGTGCACCGGTAAACCATCTGGGGCAAGGGGACCTGATTGCTAACCTCCATGCGTTTGCCAATCTCCATGGTGTAAATTCTCCCACCGTGGTGATTTCAGGCTGTGGAAGTGATGTCGCTGAGCCCTGAGCTAGGAAGAGATATGCATAATTGGTTCTTGTGAGCCAGTTTGATCTGGCTCAAGTACACCACTGGGTCTCATCTCCTGGCCTGCAGTTGGCTTTTCCAATTTTGGCTCAGGTTAAAGGGAGGGGAAGAGAGAAGGTGAAGCAAGCGTCCTGCTTTCCTTCCATCCCAGGGCTGCTGTGCTTGCTGTCCCCTCGGCTGCCGTGCTCCTTCCCCAGACAGTAACTGAGTCTTTCCCATCAGTTCTGAGCGTGGGTCCCATCCCACCCTGCGGCAGACTGTGCCCTGAAGCTGCCAGTGCTCTGTGGGTCCCCTGCAGTGGCCGCCAGGCAGGCAGCATTACTGCCATACCCCATTTTATGAATGGGGACTGAGGAGGTGAAGCACTGGCCGGAAGGCGCAGAGCCGGAGAGCTGGCTGCTGGGTCTGCTTGCTTAACCAGCGGGCTTGCTACCACCCACCTGGATTTTCCTCCCCACTACCTGTGGGTCCTTTTTACTGCTTTCTGTGTTAAAGAGCGGCGTGAGCACCCAGCTGTGCGGTCTGAGCAGGGCCAGGTCACTTCCCTCCTCTGAGCCCCGGGTTTTCCCCTCTGCAAATAGGCACAGAGCAGCCCCTCCCCCAACATGGTGCCTGCGCCTTGCAGGGGCGGGGGAGGGCACCCTTGGCCCGTGGACCTCCAGAGCGGGGCTCCTTTCCTCGGGTCATATGTTAGG